ATACCTAGTGATATCACATTGACTGGAATGGTAACTTATACCTAGTGATATCACAGTGACTGGAAAGGTAACTTATACCTAGTGATATCACATTGACTGGAACGGTAACTTATACCTAGTGATATCACATTGACTGGAATGGTAACTTATACCTAGTGATATCACATTGACTGGAGTGGTAACTAATACCTAGTGGTATCACATTGACTGGAATGGTAACTTATACCTAGTGATATCACATTGACTAGAATGATAACTTATACCTAGTGATATCACATTGACTGGAATAGTAACTAATACCTAGTGATATCACATTGACTGGAATGGTAACTTATACCTAGTGATATCACATTGACTGAAATTAAAAACCGAGCCAATGAATACAAAACTCTGATGTTATGATCCATATTTTATTTGCTATCTTGCTCATGCCATCATATTTCAACCTGTGTGCTTTTCCATTTAAAGAGAAATGTCCCGTTTCATTCATCTGTGTAATAGAAGAGAGTAAATGCGTGGCCAGACCAGGAATCGAAACCCAAACTCTAAATGGGCGCCTTACCAATAGGGCTATCTGGTCGCTGGCTATCGACCCAGTCCAGTTCTGCTATGCTAGTGGTACCAAACCTCATAATAATGTCAACACTTTGCTTGTCACATAGTTACAGTATAACAAGGTTTCATTACTGTATATTACATATGAACTAATCATACATTTCAGCCGTATATGATAGATAATAGTTTTCAGATGTCGTGGTTGTATATATGTCTATAGTAACATTTATAATAGGGACATTTATCATGGCACATATATAATGTCTGCACTTTAAATGCTGAACTTTTTAAAAATTCAATGTCTGATATTGATGTCGCTATGAAATTTAGGGTGAACAAATTGAATCCCGTGTCACAAAGGGGACTGCTATGTTGATGGTCTTACTTCTGTTTGTAGCCAGCTGTAAGGCAGCGTGTAGTTTATCACTAGCTAATGAATCACAGTATCTGCTGATATCTCGTAAAAGTGTTCAGGTGTTACGAGACAGAATCCTGGAGCGACATTTGGAGGAGGATTCTTCTGCAGTAGACAGTCAAGATATACCAGGTATAACTAAATATCATTATGTAGGTCTGTCATCATTCCTCTTGTCTATCTGCCTATCTGTCTTTCTTGTCTGTCTGTGTCTACAATGTATGTCTCTGTTTGTCTGTCCATCATTCGTTCTTTTTTCACTGTCTGTGTCTTCTGTCTTTTTTACTATCTGTCCATCATTCTTCTTGTCTTTCTGTCTGTGTCTGTTTATCTGTCTTCTTTGTCTGTTTGTCTGTCTGTCGATCAATCCTCCTGTCTCCATCAATCTTCATTGTCCGTCCGTCCATCATCCCTCCTGTCTATCTATCAGTCCTTATGTCTGTCTGTTCAGTCTTCAGGTCTGTATGGCTGTCCATCATTCATCATATTTGTCAGACTCATGTTCATCTATCAGTCTGTCCTGGTATCAGCCTGTTCATCAGTCTCTGAGATTTCAGTCCATCAGTCTATCCATCTATCTTTCCCTCACCCAATTACTTCTCTCTCTCTTTAGTCTCTATATGGAGTCTTGGATACTGCCCTCCTTTGGTATTGCTGCAAATATTCAAGGCTTCGCTACGGTTTCACCAATTAGCTTACTAAGTTGTGGTAATTTTTACTGAAATGAAATTGAAGTTTGTTATAGTTAAATCAATTAAGCGCTATAGAGTCCGGCCCTCCTCTCCTTTCATCTTCATCCCATGTTTCCCAGTGTAACCATGGTTCCCATCCAAACAAGGGTAAGGCTGCTGAACATGCTAATAGGACAAACACATAGTAAAGGATTCTATGGGTATGGTAGGTCTGTTACATCATGTAAAATGTTTCCATGCAGAAATGCTTCGATTTCGGTGATATTCTATCGTTTACTGATTTAATTGAATAGCATGTTCTTGGTTTATTTTGATATGTGTCATTTTTGTTGTAATTTTATTTTTTATTTCATTCTGATATTGTAAATTAGAATTTGTTCAGACCTTCTATAATAATTATCAATAATGAACTCCTTGTGTCTCGGGTTAACGAGTACCAGGATGAATAGTTTTTCTTATCCTTAGGTATATCAAACTTAGTTGGTCGTTTCCGTGGTAATCTCATTATATCTGGAGGCCAGGCGTTTGAGGAGGATTCATGGAATAGCATTGAGATTGGCGAGAATACTTTTTTTGTAAGTATTAAGGTTGCTAAAAAAGGGTATACATTTGTTAATTTTGTAGTAAGATTTACGTCAACCTCAAACCTAAGTCTTTTATCTCCTGTTCAATCTGTTCGGCAGATGTCATACTGGGGTAATAGCTTACATATTTTGTGATATCTAGGCTTCTAAAATGTTATATAATTTTGTTAATTTCATACGATTTATGCTAACCTCAAATATAACTACTCTTTGTACTTTGGTTTCAATGAAAAAATCTGAAGGTAACTTCTTTTCTGTTTAGCAGCAATATCATCCCCAAAATAAGCAATTACATTATTGGCTATATCATGAATGAAGTTTAACAGTCAGTTTGCATCTGGCTTATCTCCCCTTATATGTGACTACCTCCCTTTACCTGTTTCAGAGTCAAGGAGAATGTGGCAGGTGTCAGATGATCTGTGTGGATCAGTCAACAGGTCAGAGAGGTCTGGAACCCCTAAAGTCCCTAGCATCATGGAGGGGCAGGAAGGTGATGTATTTACTAATATTGTTGTTTTTAATTTTCACTATGAAATTCAATTTCTTTTATTTAAAAAAACCAAATGTGTTTGCTTAAACTTCTAATTCCATTTAAATAGATTTTATTACAGATCGTTTTTAAATATGGTGTTATTTTCATAAAGTTTCATTTTTAACTCACCTCTCCTAAGGTGTTATTTTTAATAAGAGCATTTGCCATGGTTGATATATTATCCAGGTGAACGATACAGGCCCTCTGGGTCTCTTGTTCAAAATTCAGTAAAAAAATTATTACACTATAATTAAAAAAAAAAAATTGTAACTAGAAATTTTATTACATACAGGTGCCCTTTGGTATCCACCTACAGTCAGTGACAAGCACATCAAGTGGAAAGTTGAGAGTCGGAGACACTGTTTGTGTGCTAACACAAAAATAGCCAAAATATTTGTTTCTGAAACCATTTGTTTACACAGTTGTGATATTAACCAGTTTAAGTTATTGCTAGTCCAGAGACAATACTGCCATACACATAGAAGATTCGAATCTACATGTTTGTGTATAAACGTTTTGGAATGTATCGTATACGAGGTGTTTTATACAGTGTGTTAAGTAACCTGTCATTAGCTAGACACTGAATCAGTTTATCAGAGATATGTATGTATATAACTGTCTGTGAACATGTTACACCATCTAACCGGTCTAACATTATAGTAACATACTGGTATTGGGGTTGTTTCAGAGAAGTCCTGGGTAAAAAATGTTAATTAGTGGTGTTTATTGCAAGTATCAGTTTTAGCAATTAACAATGTACTATCCTTAATCAAAAGTTTAAAGCATCAGTTTTAGCTGTATAAAGTTGAAACCTGGTCAATCAAGAGTTTATAGAATCAATTTTCACTGTGTACAGTTGAAACCTGGTCAATCAAGAGTTTATAGAAGCAGTTTTACTGTGTACAGTGGAACCAAGTTTAATCAGAAGTTCAAAATTCAGAAATTTAGAATGATTTATTTAAATTCTGTATAGTGGAACCTAGTCAGGAAATGATTTTATATCTATTTGTTTGTTAACAATGATTTTATGCAATTTAAAATAATGTTCTTTATATTTGAGGACGTCCTCATGTGGCCACAGGTTCACAAGATACATACAGATCTATTACAAACATGTATGTAGCTAGATTTACTATTATAAACATATATATCAATATATCATATAGACTAGAAAATGGTGGTTTATGAAGATACATTAGTTTTCTTTTTACAAAATAGTTTATATATTGTTGTATTGCGATATACATTCATAACTACTAAATAAGGTATTATGATTTATTTTTTATATCAATATGTCATTGGAAGGTTTTATAATCAGAGATGTTCATATATTCCGTTTTTTATATTGCTTTATTTTTACACATTTATTCACCACTGCTGCAACTTTAAGGAGGAAAAACTTAATTGTAAAAATAAATATTATTGTTTATTACATACTTACTAATAAATACGGGTTTTTAGGTCACCTGAGACAAAGTCTCAAGTGACCTATTGCGATCGCCTTTTGTCCGTCGTCGTCCGTCGTCCGTCGTGTGTCCGTAAACAATTTACATTTTCGACTTCTTCTCCAAAACCCCTGAACCAATTTCAATGAAATTTTGCAGGGACTTTCCATGGGCAAAGGTCAACAAATATAGTTGCTGGTTTAGTCCTACGCCCCCAGGGGCCTGAGGGGCGGGGCCAAAAAGGGTCGAATTGACTAAAATTTCAAAAATCTTCTTCTCAAGACCCAGATAAGGTAGAATCAAATACTCTTCATAGATGGAAGGGTCTTAAGGTGCTTTACTGAAATTGTGAATTTCTTGACCCTGGGGTCTCACGTTTCCCCCTGGGGAGGGGGTAAACTTTACTATAGTTTATATAGGGAAATCACATTTTGGACCAACATTTGTTTAATTTCCATTGGAAGTAATTCAATTTGGGTTAGCATTATCAGTATTAGGTAGCAGTTTGATAGTATGNAAAGTCAATTGTCTAAAATTACACAACAAAAAATACTTCTCTTTCTGATTCATGTAAAGACTAATTTAATGATGTTTTTTCTGAGGAATAAGGACTTTAAGAAGGTGAAAAGTATGTAATAAACAGAATAAACCATGCCTTTTTCCATATCACACCCAGTATCAACCCTCGACCATGCAATATCTGCCCTCGGGCTGATATTGCAGTCTCGGGTTGATACTGGGTGTGATATGGAAAAAGACATGTATTATTCTCTATATATTAGAGATGATTTGAATTAAGGAAGCACTATAAATTGATTTTGGTCCCATACAGGTGATAATCTAATCTATAATGGAATCTGTGATATTGTGGGCATTTCCCTGTGAGGGTTGAGGATAGTTTCTGTTCAATGGGTCAACAAACAATGTAATGGGAGCAAATGTATTAATCTTATTTTTGCTTTGAAATATTTCAGGATTCTTTTTCTGAAAAAGGAGTTAAGTTACCTCCCTTGCATTGTGAAAGCTGCATAGGGAAAGAATGTGGTCTGATCAGGGGGCAGGCTCTGGGGAGGGGGAGGGGGATGTTCATCCCCATATCAGATTATTGAAATTACAAATATATATTTATATATATTTTAAATACATTTCCATTTTTGATGTTCATGGTTGATAGATTGGGGGTGGGGTGTCATAGGAAATATGGCATTCTACAACTTTTTGACCACCATAAAAATTTGATTTTCACTAGTTCATTATCAAATATTTTATATTTGGATATGGAATGGATCTAATTAGGGTTTTCTCCTTGACTCCTTCCTAGATAAGTTTTCTAATCTGGCCTGGTCAGTAATTTTACATCAATACAACCTCTTTTCTTTATCAGGGTTTCCAAATTACCAGTGAACTTTCAATATATTAGTATATATATTTAAGCAGATTCTGTGATCATTTTGTTAGGTAATTAGTAAATGAAGTGTTTTTATCATTCTTGTGTTGTGTTGTTCAGTTGTCATATTTTCTATATAGGGCAATGTATTACTAATGGTTGATTTTATATCTATGTGGAATACTTAAAAGGGTTTATAACTTGAAATTGGTTTACATCACAACCCTATAAACCATACAGCTATGCAAGAGCTGCATGGGCATGAAGAAGCAAAGACAGATATTCTGCGAGGATTGGCCCCAAAGTCTGGGCCTTTTGCTGTAGACTTAGTCCCTGGATGATAACTTGGAAATGGTTGAAATGCCTGCCTACCCCATTAACATAATATACAATTGCTCGAAATGAAACAAAATCATAGCATCAGAATTGATCCCACAGTATGGTCCTGCCCTTAGGGACTTAATCCCTTGGTCACTACAGTACATAGCCATTGTTGAGATCCACACCCTATAACCATCTCTACCATTGTACGGCATGAAAATAAAAATAAAAATACAAAATGTATGCTACTAGGATTTGCTCAAGGGTCTCCTCTGCCCATAGGGACTTCAGTCTTGTACAATATAACACATGGTCAACTACCAGCATCTTGTATCTTGTATTGTATTACTTTTAATGAAAGTGTCTTTCCATGATTGCTCAAATATCCAGGAGAGCAATACAAGCCCTTTGGGCGGCTTGTTACTATGTTGTTATTGTTTTTATATCTTGCTAGAAATGTTTTATATTTTAGTAAATATTCTTACTGCTTTACAATTTGTTGGATTTTTTGCTGATTTAATTCTGTTTGGTTTGTTTGTGTTTTGCGACCTATTAACAGTCATGGTCATTTACGGACGTGCCATGTTTTGGTGGTGGAGGAAAGCCGGTGTTCCTGAAGAAAAACCACCGACCTTCAGTCAGTACTTGGCAACTGCCCCACGTAGGTCTCGAACCTGCGACCCAGTGGTGGAGGGCTAGTGGTAGCAGAATGTCAGATGCCTTAACCACTGTGGCCTTTAGATATAGCAAGCAAGCTTTACCTTGCTTTGAAATTATGCACAAATCAAAATTATGAAGATATTAAACTCTCGATTTTTGCAACATGTTTGAAGATTTTTATCAGATATGTACTTACTCATTGTTATCAGTGCATCCATTCTAATGTGAAACCGAACTCTTTTGAAAAGTGATACATTTGACAGCAAGACAGTATACATCCTTAATGATGGACTGCCACAGATTCTTCAGTATTTGTTAGCATTAATGATGTGCATAACAATTTACTTCTAAAGCATTAAAATCGTCTTTAGAAGAAATCTCATTGTCTCTATACCTACCTCATCCCACAGCCTTATCAATCGCACATATTACAACTCACTTTATTTTGCATGTACTTAATTTGTTTAAATTATGCTTTGAGTATGTTTTACATGCAAATAGTTAAATTCAAGATTGAGACGAGTTTTTTTCAATATTGATAGTAACTGATTTATTGGATTCATATTTGAGGTAGATACAAATTTGTGAACGCGTCCTTTTCATGAATCAAAACACAAAATTTCTCACAAAAAATTAAGTGATGTACAGTAATTTTGTCTGGTTTAGAATAGGCCTGCATTATTTGTTTCATACTGGTATTATACAGATTTCTTAGCAGAACTCTTTGGAAATTTATAATTATATCCTTAATGGATGGAAATCTTGCTAATTGGTAGCATTTTTAAGCACTACTGATGTGACTATCTTATTGTAATGCATTAACAATACATATACATTATACGTATTATGAAGCAATCCAAATGCTTTGATTCACTGCGATATCCTTCCCTTATGCCAAGTAGGACTTATTGGTTCGTTGGGCAGAATAGGATGGCCTACTTTCAAATCTAAGGGTTCTCACTTCTCAGCTTTTTTTTTACCTTGCCTGGAGGTATCTATTATATCCACAGCCATAAATTTACCTTTTCATTGAAGTAAATCAGCATGAAAGGTGATATCATACAGGGATTGAACAGCTTTTTGAATTTTCATGCCGATACAAACGCAAATCGGTTACATCCAAGCTCGCTAGGGCTTCATGTTTAATATGGATGTAACCGATTTACGTTCATACCGGCATGAAAATTTTAAAACCGCCTTTCAATCCATATATTTACATTTTTACTATAGAACAAATGTTTAGTTTATTTATTCGTTCTTAAATAATTTATTTATTTACTGCGTTTTGTTTATGCGTCGTCCTTTAAACAACATTGGCAGAACAGCCCTATTTTAATCAAATTGGCGCCAATAATTAACCGTAGTCATTTGAGTGTTTGACGTAGGGACATTCTCCATGTTAACCGAAGGGAAGCGACAAGACTCTCATTGAACAAGGTTAATCCATGATGTTATAAGTAAACCACGTTATACGTCACGCAAGTTTTTGCTTTCATACTCAACTGAAATGCATTTTTGCTGGTAATGTTCATATAGTGGGTTGCAGCACAAATGTAAATATATAACTAAATGCTGTTACAATATTACTAGCCCAAACCAAGTCTGAAACGGGGTTTTTAATTAGTATTTACGGAGTATCTTTACAACCAGGTAGTCTTCTTTCACAGGCAGTCTTTATGAAAAGTTCAGACTGCCTATATATTGGTAAAATAACCATGGTACTTAATATCTTGTAGTGAAAAACTACTGAAAATCGGCTGCAAAATTTCATTTGGCGTTAACCCAACTTTACATAATTTCTCAGCATGATGCAACAAAAAAATTGCCTTTGGACTAAATGCCAATCCATGCATATATGAAATCTACATATTTGATAGTTAATTTCAACTAAATGTACAATCAACTAAATGTACAATCATTATTATCCTATAATTTTGTCCTGAAGAAGCCCATTGTAGGGGCGAAACCGGTCGACACTTCTAATAAACTACAAGAATAACTTATTGCTCCTTCGCCTGTTGTGATTGAATCTATTTTATGATACAATCATTATTAGATGTTATTTCCATGATTATGTAGATTTCCATTGATGATGAAGTCGTGTTAAGATTGCCTATCTTTGACAGAAAACATGACACAATATTCTTTTATCTATTTTAATGAGCAGTTGCTTCTTTGTGTGCTCAAGATCAGACAAAACATTAAACATTATGCATAAATAAATAACAAAAAATCTCACTCACAAGGCACCGTCAGCTATGGGTATACATACATGAACAGACTCGTATTGAAGGGAGACACTTCCCTTTAACTACAGCATACACAAACAATCTGCCATGAAAGGGATTCACATGTACGTTACACATTATCTTTTTTATGTTGCATTCACTACCCTTTATTTATGATACGCAAGAGGAGTGCCATCCCTTTAAATTCAACAGGGTTCACAAAAATTGCTAGAAATAATTCAAAAAGTAGTTCCTGGTTTGCTTGTCTGCTTATTGCTGGTGTATTGGTTCCTTTTGCACATACAGTAAACCTGGATGCCTCCCTGTTTACCGCCAACATATTCCAATGTTCCTTTTTCTTGTTTTCTTAAGAAAATGCTTTATACATTTCCCTCAATTTATCACCAAACCCCTTTATAATGCTTTATGATATTACATACTTTCTTCCACATGGTAAAATATTCTTGCAGGAACAAAATTTTGTTAAAAATTCTATGAATCAATGATCGAGTGAAACTGTGTCGGATAAGTTTGTTAGAGAGAGCTTTCCTTTGCTGGAATTGATAGCATTAATGATTATTTTCAATTTAAAAAAAAAATAGAATTGTAGGCTAGCTAAAACACTCTGCACCTCCTTGGGACTATTTTTGGTCAATATAGACTATTAAATGAACACAATTCACAATGAAAAATATACTGCATACCAATAAACTGTACAAAGTTTGGTTGAAATCTATGCAGTCCTTAAGTAGTCTAGGCCCATTTTGTTATTAAAAAGAAACTCGCAACATAGATAACAACTAGCTTGCATACAGATAGATAAGTTGTAGTGCAACGTTTCATTGAAATTAATGCAGTTCTTTAGGACAGACAGACAGTAAAATTACTCGGATAACTGTATGTTCAAATTTTTATTTCCATTGTATGTCGTTCATATTGATTAGAAATATGAACTGAAAAAGTAAAACATAGCTTTCATTATCAGTGTTTCAATTCAAAGTTAATGTATGTATCACATTTGCTTGTTCAATAAATAGAGCAGTCATCTTCTGGTACAAGTCAGAGGTACTAAACTTGATAATTACAATGGGGTCATGGCATTCATAGCTGATGTAAATGAATTTAGTAGGGTAAGGGTAATAGCCATCAAATAGTAAATACCACTTAAGTTTCTTTTTTATTCCTGTTTCTATTTCCCCTTCAGTTTAAATATATATGCAAGATTTTTATGTCTTGAAATGGTCTGCATTTTCACATTCTACAAAACATCACCAACTACCAGTACACAGCATGTTAATGGATTCTCAATGACAACAAAACTCAAAGGACTGCAGACATTTATATCTTCAATTTAGATAAACGATATTTTGACAAAGCAGCACTCTCAAATAGATGTTTTCATTTCAATTTTTAAGTTGAAGTATTGTCATTTAAGGACAATCCAGGTTTTGGTTGGGAGGAAACTTGGAGAAAAGCCAATGACATGCCACAAGTACCTGAGGATTGCCCAGTAACGGCCTCAAACCCACGACCCAGTGGTAGAAGGTTAGAGATTACAGAGGGTCAGTAGCCTTAACCACTCAGCAACGGCAGCCACTGAAAGTATCAGAAACTGAATCTCAAACTCCAAGCTGCATTTAGTGGTCTCCTCATGATATGTTTAGATATATTCATCTAACAGTTCAACGTCTTGCATGTGCTGTTCCACTTGTTCATTCTCGCATAAAAATAAATCTACAAGATAGGGAATGATAACAATAATGTGGTTTATCTACCACATCTAAGACATAACTCTGTCACAATGGAGCATACATGATGCTTAATACCAGTAAACTTGGCCACATACATGATGCTTAATACCAGTAAACTTGGCCACATACATGATACTTAATACCAGTAAACTTGGCCACATATATGATGCTTAATACCAGTAAACTTGGCCACATACATGATGCTTAATACCAGTAAACTTGGCCAAATACATGATGCTTATTACCAGTAAACTTGGCCAAATACATGATGCTAAATACGAGTAAACTTGGCCACATACATGATGCTAAATACCAGTAAACTTGGCCAAATACAAGATGCTTATTACCAGTAAACTTGGCCGCATACATGATGCTAAATTCCAGTAAACTTGGCCACATACATGATACTTAATACCAGTAAACTTGGCCGCATACATGATGCTAAATATCAGTAAACTTGGCCACATAGATGATGCTTATTACCAGTTAACTTGGCCACATACATGAGGCCAAATACCAGGAAACTTGGCCACATACACGATGCTTAACACCAGTAAACTTGGCCATATACATGATGCTTATTCCCAGTAAACTTGGCCACATACATGATGCTTATTACCAGTAAACTTGGCCACATGCATGGCAATTAATCGCAACAGAATAAATTAAACAGGAACTGCTTACAATGCAGGTACAAACATTACTGAAACTGAACACATACCTCCACACTGATCAGGATACATATACACAGAGTACAGACATACTTTTAGTGTATCATGAGACTGGATATTTATATCAACATGTTCGATACCATGCACATCTTACTGGTATTGATTTTCTACACTTATGGTAAGTACGGGTGGGAGGCACTTTGTCAGAAATTCCCATTTTACCCTCTGCTTCTTATTTTACTTCATCCTTGGAAATCTGAAAGGTGACCGACTTACCTGGAAAACCACCTCCCACCACTACCATAAATGGGATGCAGAAAAGCCTGTGAAAATTACAAGTTGCAGTATAGGAATTTAGCGCCTTCAAAGATTTCACATAATTTACACTGTGACTAAGACCATACAGTAGATATGAATTTTTTTCCTGTATAAATCTTCCCTCGTCTATTGCCAACCTCTTGTTCAGTACATTACAAGTTTTGAGTCTTTCTGCTAGTGCAATCAACCGAACCTAATAAGCATAAATGGTTTACTATGATAAATGTTTAGAAATAAATGGTTTACATTTCAAAATGGTTCACTTTAGCATTATAATGACAACAGATTCAAAATGCAACCTAAGTTATACACAGACATAAAGGAAAGAACCAAAGATAAAAATATCATAACGGATTTAAATTCTACCGAAACAATTGAGATACATGCAAGTTAACAGATCGGAAATTCGCACATCAAAACATCTTCAAGCTATCAATAAAAAGTCACGTGTTGGTTTGGAATTCCTCAGATGTGTTTTGGGAATAGTTGCTACATTGGTGAAATCATCATAGTACATTCAGTATTTCAAACGTAGTATTTTTTGGATGAATGAATTTATTGTGAATATTGGACGCAATTAGCACTCGTGCTCCAATAAAACGCAAGTTAAATTGATCATTATCACTCTACTGGTCATCAAACAAACTCTTCTAAATAACTTAAACATTCAACACAGTCTTTTAGTCATTACCAATACCAAACAACCAAATAACAAATAAGTCTTTCTGCATGCACTTTCATAGGATTCATGTATAACTTACTTAGCACCCCAAACAAGGGTCAAGGACATTATAAAATTTAAATACGGTAATGTTGGAAGTACCCTAACGTAATAGAGAAAGCTGCACAAACATCCACACATTTATAGTACAAGTATTCTCAGATCTAACCGAAGCCACTCTCAGAATACAGTCTTAACGCATTCACCCCTGAAGACACATTTTAACTCTTCCAATTCAAAGGTTGGAATAGCCCTTCATGAAATTCAGGGGTGAACAAGTTAATGGATTTACGTAGACAACTTTTCTACACGTCTGTCAATCTTTCTCCATTCACCCACAAACCTGACTGACCGGACAGTCTCTTTACAGGTCTCCTCTCTCAACAAGTGTAGTCAAATAGTGCAACAACACTCCAGCCAGTCAAATTGAAATGGATACAAAGCATTGTTGTTTTATCAGTAGCACCTGTAATCCCCAAAAAACAAGTAAAATTAAACTCCTTTTCTCACAGTATACAATAATTAACACGCCTTTCTCTCATGCTCGTTTAAAATCATAAAAATCTTAGGTATCCTGTCGTCCATATATTAAAGCATTTGATACATTTACCTACAACCACCTACAGGTGGGAAGTTCCTTTCTCCCCTTCTCACCCCAATGCATTGTAAGCTCATTTCAGGAATGTTGAAATAATGTAAGTCATGTAAATAATTATACAATTGTAACAAAGTGTAAAATCAACTATCAACTGCCGTTCATTTCCACAGGGTCTATAGGCTCAGTTTTCACCTTAAAGTCTGTGCCATTGGTCGTGGCCAGTTTGATTGGTAACACTTTCGGTGTTTCTGCGGATGACACACTGTCACCATTGTTTTTAGGGGACTGTCCATTCTCTGTAGCTTTGACGCCATTACTATTAGTGTTTCCCTCCCCCTCCCCACTCTCTCCTTCGTTAGAATCCTCCCCCGTCGGATGCATCTGTTTGAGTTCCTGCGCGAAGTCAGCCATGCCGTACTGCTGAGCAATACGGAGGCCTTCATCAAATAAAGTCTCCTGCAGCAAACCACTGGCCATCTGTGTTGTGTACAACTGGGACCGCACCATCAAGTTGAACTCATCCATGTCTCCAGAATTATCTCCCCTTGGTGAGGAACTTCCACTTTGCATATCTGTGGAACACAAACAGACAAGATGAATCTTTTTTGTTCTATTGCTGAGATAACAACTTATTTGTCAGACAAACATGAAAATCAACTGTAATACTGAGTTTTGGTCCTTGCTCCTAACACAATGTGCAAGCAAGAATGTTTGTCCAATTAATTGGTTGATTGGTGGCCAAATTCACAAACTTGTGGAGGAGTAAACAAAAAGCTGTTAATCTGCGTCATGACTTTTCCGATAAAAAACAACATCTACTTGACCACAGGTTTATAAATGAATTCTTTCTACCCATAGTTTGGTTTCCTGCCTATTACTTCTACACAATTTATCAGATTTCTATGAGTGATACCCCTAAAGCTGGAGTGTAAGGGTGGGTAATAACTGATATGACCTCTATATACCATCAAAAACATGGCTGATAGCCTCTAGTTATCTCCCTTGCATCACATAACTTATCTATGATCTTGGCCACAGCACTCTCAGCCTCAAAATTTTAGGGTTTAAGGTCCGACACTTACCTACAAGATACTATAATAGAACGTCCAATCCTTAACTGATGAAGATGACCCTTACCTTCCTCCTGGAGACGTTTGTGTTTCTGTATGATCTCGTTCTGTTCAGAAAGGAGCTGTAGCTGACGAACCGTGGTTTGTTCAAGTTCCACCTGTATGGACCTATAGACCTCGGTGTCCACACCTCCGGTTTCCTTGGCAGTCTGGAGCTGGGCTTTTAAGTCTTCCTGGCGCTGGGTTATTAGCAACAACTCTTGGTTCAGGTTTGTGTAGCGCTCCTGTAACAGATCAATACTCATACAATCTAACCTTTAACAGGAACGATGGGGCACATCACAGAGTATTTCTGTTTATTTATTGGCCCCACACAGGGTATTTATCAGTGGTTAGTATAAATGTTTACCACATGGGGCCCCACAATTGTATTTATTACAACGGCTAATATCAATGTTATACATGAACCAACTTTCTTAATGGAGGTTGAACATAATTTAACGTATGCTGTGAGATCTATAACAAACACAGATATACTAGTAATATAAAGACCAGTATCAACTACAGTATGTAAATTGTCTAACTTGTCAAACATTTGTATATAACATTTCAAACAATTTCTGAAATTATTTCACGGCTTCAAATTGTGCTTTAATTTCGGAACAATCAAATTTTTAATGAAAATTACTGTTACCAAATTACAAAATGTATATTGAGCTTCAAAATAGTTCAGAATGTTCTCAAATAGTGTTTATGAAGAAACAGGTCAGAAACAAATGATAGAGCATGAAATGGAAACCAACAGTGCTTTCTGAAAGTGGATTTACATCCAAACCAAACTGACAACGACAAAAAAATGCCAATTATCTCCCTTATACTGGGATACAGTGCCCTAAACTATTCCTATAGTATTAATTCACTCACCCCTACATATTTAAACTGGACTGCCGAGTCTTTGATTTGGTATGGTTTAAATGTGACTTTAGGGGTGAATGGGTTAATAAGAATTAAAACATTTTTTCTTTTCTTTTAATACTGTACAGGGTCTTTCAATATATATATATAATCAGAGTGTGAGAAAATATTTCAAGAACTACCAGACCAAATTTCATTTTGTATTTGTTTGCCTTCTTTGTCTAACGAAGATTCTGACCAAGCACATTTGTGTCAGTGATATTTGTGTCCGGTGCAGTTTGTTATATAACATTAACATACCTTTTCTACCTTGATGTACAAGGGATCAAACCGTGTTCGCTTGGCTGATGTCATAGGGACAATAACATCAGATGCTCTGTAAGATAAAATAAAATCGTCTTTAAATCTTTTCATTTCCTGTAATCCAGATCACCTATCCACTAAGAGTCTTTTAAATCTCACATGAACAATAATTATGTCGCAACCATTTTCATAAATTTCTGAAAACAAAAAACCCCAATGGCCATTTTCATGTAAAGCATCGCATGTGATAAGCATCCTTAGATACATAAGCCATGCAAGTTTAGTTGATGTAGGACAAGTAGTTACTTGGTAAGTGACCTAAACCAATCTTCTTAACCTGGTCACTGAAATGGAAAACGTATGTCAAAAGCAGCATCCGAAGCATCGCATGTGATAAGCATCCTTAGATACATAAGCCATGCAAGTTTAGTTGATGTAGGACAAGTAGTTACTTGGTAAGTGACCTAAACCAATCTTCTTAACTATAGTGCAGATGGGGCCTGACCTTAACAAATCTTCTAAACCTGGTCAGTCAAGCCGAAAATGTAGGTCAGAAGCAGCATCCGAGGCATCGCATGTGATAAGCATCCTAAGATAAATAATCCATGCAAGTTTAGTTGATGTGGGATAATTAATAACATGGAAACTGAGCTTAACCATTCTTCTTAACCTTAGTGCAGACTGACGGACAGGAAACGCCAATCTATAAGCCCCGATTGCGTTGCTTATTTCAAGAAATAATCTAAGCATAAAATGAAAAAAAGGTTATATGCCAACCTTGTCTGGTCTATAATGAGCAAAATGTATTATTATTATTAATTAATTAATTAAGATGCAGGAATGAAGCTGCTAGATTGATGACAAAAAAATAATGTAAATATTAATGGTTACTTTGACTTTGTCACCCTAAAACATGAACTCATCTAAAATATTTATTATACTTAATCAGATCAATATAGGAAGTTTGATGAAAATCCTTTCAGAAATGAAGAAGCTAGAGAAATGACAGAGATATTTTTATAAATAAACAGGGACCATGACCTTGTCTCCCTGATTTCAATTAGAGGATTCTCATACAATATACCAAGTCTGAAGAACACCCTTTCAGAATCAAAGTTGCTAGGGTGATGACAAAGTGTGGACATATGTTTGAACAAATGTGAGTATATATGCACCAATACACACCAAAAAAAAAGCTATTTTCCCTAAAAAAAACTGATCACAAGGGATTATTAAATGTGAAATTAGAGTTACGATCAGCTAGAATGCAATACAATGTACATTTTATTATTCCAATGCCAATTTCTACAACAATGACATTTACAGAAACGATACACAATCTGATGTAGTTTTTTGTCATGTGTGGATCTGTTACAGTAATAAACAGTCAGTACAGAGAGTTCTATCTGTCAGCATCATGATGATATCTCCTGTGGAGGTGGTTTCTCCAGACAGTTTTTATTTTTATGAAAAGCAGTCTCCCTAGACAGTTATCCTGTTAGGAATAAACCTGATCAGGAAGGAAACAAGGAATCTCTCTAGACAGTTTAATTTGCTGGACTATTCCTGATAAGGATAGTCTCTCTAAACAGTTTAATTTGCTGGACTATTCCTGATAAGGATAGTCTCTCTAAACAGTTTAATTTGCTGGACTATTCCTGATAAGGATAGTCTCTCTAAACAGTTTAATTTGCTGGACTATTCCTGATAAGGATAGTCTCTCTAAACAGTTTAATTTGCTGGACTATTCCTGATAAGGATAGTCTCTCTA